TTTTTTTTTCCCTTTTACTACAATCACTAAGTAAAGACTTCTTATACAGATGAATGCAAAAATGCACGTTCTTTCACATTTGGTTCCAACTCGGACATTCCACTTTCTTCGTTATTGTAAACAAATTGAAGTAGGTACATGGGTTATAGTAGATGTGTCAGTTGACTCCTCAGAAGATAAAACCACTGTTTCTTGCGCTTGGAGGCTTCCATCTGGATGCCTGATTCAAGAAATTACTCAGGGATTGTGTAGGGTAAGTTACTAACTTTGAATTTTACATTTTTTTTCTCTTACATTTTTATCATCCACTTCTTTTTTTCAGTAAAATTATTCATTACATCTCTCATTTTTTATGTTGTTTTAATTCTCTTCCTGAAATCACTAGTACAAAAGACCCTTTTTACGTCGGTTATTTAGGGGTTTTTACGTCAGAGAAACGTCCGACGTAGAAGCGGGAGACGTAAAATTTACGTCGGGGGTCAAAAACCGACGTAAATTTACGTCGGACATACCCAGGTCCGACGTAAAAAATCGTAAAAATTTTAAAAAAAAAAAAGAAAAATGAATGCAGTAGAACGGCCCGTTCTGCTTGGAGAACGGCCCGTTCTCCTTGCAGAACGGGGCATTCTGTTTGGAGAACGGCCCGTACTGCTTGGAGAACGGGCCGTTCTCCTTGCAGAACGGCCCGTTCTGCTTCCCAGAAATCGCTTTTCTTCTGCGTTTTCCTCCCAGAAATCGCTTTTCTTCCCAGAATCGCTTCTCTTCTCTGTTCTCCTCAGGCTTGGCTTCAGCCACTGGTTGTTCCTACTCAAAATATATAAAGAAACACACATAATAAGTTCAAAATACACATTTAGTCGTATGAACGCAAACTGCTTGTTTTTGTCGTATGAACGGAGACTGAATGATAGAAAAAAATCACACCTTACACAACGAACAGGAAGAGGAAGAGGAAGAGGAGTAGGAGGCGGAGGGATTTACACAACGAAGAGGGAGAGGGTTTACAGAGAAAAAAATGAAAAGTGAATGCGCGCGGTGTGCCTCGCGCTCTCTTATTCAAATTTGCGTCTTTTTTACGTCGGACCTGCTAGGGTGCGACGTAAATTGGACTTTTTACGTCGCACCTTCCCAGGTGCGACGTAGATTGGACTTTTTACGTCGGACCTTACCAGGTGCGACGTAAAAAAGTTCGCAAAAATTACAAAAATGCCACCGCATTTTTTTTACGTCGGATTTTCGTGTTTCCGACGTAAAAGGGGTGACGTAATATACTTATTTTCTACTAGTGAATCCATCTCACATTTATGATGGAGTGTGATGGGATCAATTTTGAATTACATATCTAAATTAAAATAACCCGATACAAACATGTTTACTTATATGTCCTTAAACTACATAAGTAAATGTCACACATGCATATATTGATGTTACTGTGTTACTAGCTATAGGTGACCTATTTATGAACTATATACAGTATGAAGATCCATGGAATTAGAAAAATAATAAACACACTATTTTTGTTGAATATATGAATGAAAGAAAGAAAAAAATATAGAGAAAAAAAAATAAAAGGAGATAGATATTGATGTCCAATGATATGAAAGAAAATAAAGACAGATAAGATAAAAGAAAATAGTGTGAAAATGAGATATAAGAGATAATGTATAAACATAAATACTCATCTAATTATTAGTTTACTTGCATTTAATATGGCTATAATTTAACTTATTTTTAGAATTAAGTGCAACTATAATATCTTGAGAGAAATTTTGAAAAGAATATTTTTCATAAGAATTAAGTGTTGTTTTCATTTGTTTCCTGTTGTCTGCACAGTATTGTTGAATATCAATTCCTCAATTTCGATGCTCTATGTTACGGTATGAAAAAATATAGTAATAAGTTTAATTCTGATAGGTTTCTTGGATGGAGCACGTGGAAGTGAATGACAATATTCAAACTCATCAGCTTTTTAGAGATATTATTATTAATACATATGGAGCCAGAAGGTGGATTTTGACCCTTAAAAGAATGTGTGAGAGATTTGAGTGCGCCTCAACCGAAACAATACCTAGTTATGAGGCTAGAGGAGGTTCAAACCTTACTGCTCATTATTCAATTAATTTGTTTAATTTTTTATGTACTATTTTTTTTGTTCATATTTAAGTCTCTGTTATTCATTGTTTTCAGTGGTTAAATCACTTGAAGGAAGGAAGAGTATAATGCAATTGGCTCATCGTATGGTTAAGATTTTCTGTCGGACTTTGGACATGGAAGATAACACGAATTTCCCACATTTAACTAGGATTAATAATGGTGAGGTTACAATATCAGTTCGCATGAATAAAACAGTCTCAGATGTTCCAAAAGGCATGATTCTCAGTGCTGCTACCTCCTTTTGGCTTCCTCTCTCTCCACAAAGTGTTTTTGACTACATGATAGATAACAAGGAACGAGCAAAGGTTCAAACCATATATATAGTGTATATTTAATTTGATAGTAGATTTTAATCTTAGGTTATAAAATCATTAATACTTTCAATTCAATTTTTTTTCTTCTTTTTAATTGGTTGCAGTGGGAACCTCTTTGGTATGGAAATCCGGGGCACGAGCTTCAACGCATTTCAACTGGAAGTAATCCTAGAAATTTTATTTCAATTACACGGGTACGTACTTGTTATTTTTCTAATTCAGTTTCATGTTTGAATGCTATATACAGAACTAAATTAATATACTTTCTAATTAATTTATATCAACTAAAACAATTATCATCCCACATGTGTTTCAACGTCATTTTTGCTCTTGTTGCAAATGATACTGCTCTAAATAGCTAGGTTAAGTTAAAGTCATCATGGAAACTCATAATTAAAATAACGTGCTTTAGACTTAATAAAGACAAATATTATTGTGGTGAATTTGATGAAATTAAAACTATATACGGTATCTATATTAGATTTTGTAACTTGTTATGTATGAATTAACTTTTTGTAGCTTAATTTAAATATATATATATATATATATATTAATTAGAGTGAAGTAATTTGGACTAGAAACATTAATTTAGCATATAGTTTTGACGTGCTAATAAACAACACTTCCAAATTATGTTATTAAATGAATATTAATTAGCTTTTTCGTGTTTGATCAACACATAATTAATCATATTTTAGTATTTGTTTTTCTCTTGTCTCTTTTCATCAAATCTCTTATCTTATCTAATCTTCTTAATTTTTTTCTTTCTTCTATTAAATTTTAAACTTAGTTTTATAAAACTTTTGTAAGAGTAGTGTTATCCAAATTAATTTCTCTTGTTCCCGTGGTACAGCCTGTTAGCTGTAGTGAGAACAATAACACAGTGACTCTTCGAGAAAGTTATGCAGATGCTTTGGGATCTATGATGGTATACTCAGCTTTTGATATGGAGATAATGAATTTTGCGATGAGGGGAGAAGACACGTCACAATTGCTGGTTCTTCCCTCTGGCTTTACCATAAGTTGGGATGGCCAGCCAAATGCTCTTGAAGGATCATCTGGACAAGTTGGGAGATCAAGAGGTTCTGTGGTGACTCTAATGTTACAGCTTCTAGCTTCAAGTTCATCTGAAATGGACAAAGTAGACATGGAATTTGTAGGTTATGTTACTACACTTCTGTCCTCAACAGTGGAGAAAATTAAATCTGCTTTGAATCGTACCAATTAAGAGTATTATTATCTTACTAGGATGTACCTAGATTAATGTTTTAATAAAAGTGAAGTTTTAGTTATTGTTCTGTATAAATTGGATGCCAAACCTAAAAAGTGAAGTTTTTGTTCATATTTAAGTCTATGTTATTCATTGTTATTCATCACTCTATATAAATGATATATAGATTGAAAAAATACTAAAAGTAAACACATCTTATCTCTCAAAAATGTTGAACCAAAGCAATTAAGTTAATGTGATCAAATAAATAACAATAATGAGAAGTATAATTTCATATGTAGAAATTCCTTTTGTGGAAAAAAGTCATTATTTTTTTTATTATCAATATTGGTAATAATTGAGAGTAAAGAGAACATGTGTACAACAATCGAGACACAAGATTCTTTGAGTGATTATATCGAGAAAAAAGACAAATTTTGTAATTCTATTTTCATAACGAAGGTATTTATTAGATTAGGTCTTGTAATTTTTCGCATAAAAGTAGAAGTCATTTTTTCTATTTTTTTACATGTACTTTTACTTCTGCGTAATGCGTATAAGAGTTGACAGCGAAAGAAATTGATCCTGTTGATTCCCAAAAATAATCAAATAGGTGGTTCAAAAAAAATTTAAGTACAAATTAATCAATTAGTGATACTAAATTAATAATCGTTTTAATATATACATAGAGTGTGTGTGTGAGAGTGAGGATTTATAAATTTTAAATAGTGGAGCACTATTCATACATAAATTTATAATATTAAGCATCACATTTTTTTAAATACAAATATACATAAAATTGCTTTCTACAAGATTTTATATTTTAAAAATATTGAATGATTTTTTTCATTTTTTAACTCTTTTAAAAATATCTTTCTATATAAATAATTAAATAATTATTTGATCATTTATATCTCATATCAAAATTTTGACCCTTTTTCTTTTTAAAAATAGTATAATATAAATTTGGGATAATCACACTAGTATAAAAGAGGTAATTTACGTCTGTTATTTTAAATTTTTTACGTCAGAAAAAAGTCTGACGTCAATGCAGAAGATGTAAATTTACGTCGGTTCACAACCAACGTAAATTTACGTTAGACATTGTTAAGATTTAACGTAAAAAAGTTGTAAACAAAAAAAAATAACGAGTGCAAGCAGAATGGGTCGTTCTGCCTAGAAAACGACCATTCTGCTTGGAGAACGGGCCGTTCTGCTTGATAGAGAAATCCAAAAGAAAAGACCAACAATCCAAACAAATAGAACAACTAAAAGACCGAATAGAACAAATAGCCACAATAGCAATACGAAGCAAAAAGGTGTTAGCGAAACCCTGATTTATACTTGAGATGCAACAGTGTGCGAACGAGTAACGAAGAATTCACTCTACTCTGCAGAAGACAGAAAAAACGATTCAATAACAAAGGAGAGGAGAGGATTTATACAGAGAAGAATCTAGAAAAGTGATGAGATTCAAGTGAGTACGTGCGTGTACCTCCCATGCACTCTATCCTGATTCATACCTGAGCTGCAATAGTGTGCGAACGAGTAACGAAGAGTTCACCCCACTCTGCAGAAGACAGAAAAAACAATTCAGCAACAAAGGAGAAGGAGAGGGTTTATACAGAGAAGAATCTAGAAAAGTGAAGAGATCAGAGTGAGTGCGTGCGTGCGTGTGTCTCCCATGCACTCTTCTTATTCGCTTTCGCTACTTTTTTTTATGTCGGACTTGGTAGGGTCCAATGTAAAATGTAAAATCTACGTCGGTTGTATGTGGTGTCCGACGTAGATTTTACATTTTACGTCGGACCTGTAAAAAAGTTCACAAAAATTACAAAAATGTCACCGCATCTTTTTTACGTCAATTTTTATTATGTTCGATGAGAAAGAGATGACATAAAAGACTCATTTTTCACTAGTATCATCATTTTTTTAATCACTTTACTAACTTAACTATAATTAGTATTTTATTTGTTTCATAATAAGTATTGTCTTATATTGTTTTACATGGACCAAGAATGAAAAAAATTTATGATTAATTTTTTTTACTATAAACAATGCAATATAATATCTATTTTTTAAATAATATTATGAAGGATATAAATGAAAAAATTAATACTATATTAAAAAAATTGATATGACATTTAACACTTATTATGATAGAAAGAGATTATTATACATACTATAAAAGAAATGTTTCAAAAAAAATTAATATATTAATTTTGACTTTTTTTTCAAAATAAAAATACATTAAAAAAAAGTGAAGACACCTAATTTTTAACATAACAAATACGAACAAATTATGTAAATTTATAATATGTAAATATATATATATAAATTAAATATCAAAAAATGTTAGTGTGAGCATTTGACCCACTAATATTTATGTGAATCCGTCCCTATATGTATATATAATTCAAAAATATATTCTAAATAAATAATCGATATTAACCCACAAATAAATAATTTATTTACTTCAAATCAACCTGCAAGCAAATAGTAGCTACTAACATTATAAATTAACAAAAATTCCATGTTATCTTTATTCCAAAACAAAGGTACTTGTTGAAAATATATTATTTCAAATTGGTGCAATTCAGAGCAACTTTAATTTTCTCCACTGTTGAGGTCACAAGTGTTTTAACAACACCTACAAATTCAATGTCTACCATGCCCAGTTTAGATGGACTGGAAGCAAGAAGTTGAAACATTAGAGTCACCAACGAGCCTGCTGATTTATCAATTTGTCCATCTTGTCCTTCAGGAACATTTGACTGCCCATCTGGAGTTATGGTCA